ATGGGGGGCAGTGTGTGTGTATGGGGGCAATGTGTGTGTATGGGGGGCAATGGGTGTGTGTGTGTGTAGAGTGTGTGAACACCCCCCCCCAGCCTACCTGTCACTGGAGGATGTTGCTGGGGGTCAGCCATCTTCTGCAGCAGCATGGGCTGCTGCATTACGGCGGGGGTGGGGCTTATCGGCGGGAGGCGGGGCTTCGTTTGGGGGCGGGGCCTTGCTGGGGAGCCAATCAGTGCTCCCTCCAGTCACAGACAGCCCCCAGCACCTCAGCACTGCATTCCCTCGGGCTGTAACAGGCTGTTACAGCCCGAGGGAAGCCCATGGCCAGCAAGTTGCCGGCATTTGGGGGGGCCCAAGGGGGGGCACAGCATGATGTAGGGGGGGCCATGGCCCCCTCTGGCCCCCCCCTAGCGACGCCACTGATTCTCTTTAATATTTTTATTAGTGCTATTGCAGAAGATCTTGCTGGTAAGGTATGTCTTTTTGCTGATGATACTAAGATATGTAACAGGGTTGATGTTCCAGGAGGGATAAGCCAAATGGCAAATGATTTAGGTAAACTAGAAAAATGGTCAGAGTTGTGGCCACTGACATTTAATGTGGATATATAATGCATCTTGGACATAAAAACTGAAGGGCAGAGTACAGAATATTTGATGAGTCCTAACCTCAACATCTGAGGAAAGGGATATAAGGGTAATTATTTCTGATGACTTAAAGGTCGGAAGACAATAATATAGAGCAGCAGGAAATGCTAGCAGAATACTTGGTTGTATAGGATTAGGTATTAGCAGTAGAAAGAGGGAAGTGCTCATGCCATTGTACAGAACACTGGTGAGACCTCACTTGGAGTATTCTACGCAGTACTGGAGACCGTATCTTCAGAAGGATATTGATACCTTAGAGAGAGTTCAGAGAAGGGCTACTAAACTGGTTCATGGATTGCAGGATAAAACTTACACGGAAAGGTTAAAGGAACTTAGCATGTATAGCTTGGAGGAAAGACGAGACAGGGGGGATATGATAAACCTTTAAATACATAAAGGGAATCAACACAGTAAAGGAGGAGACCATATTTAAAAGACTAAAAACTACCACATCAAAAGAACAAATTAAATTAGAGGGGCAAAGGTTTAAAAATATCAGGAAGTATTACATTACTGAGAGGGTAATGGATGCATGGAATAGCCTTCCAGCTGAAGGGGTAGAGGTTAACACAGTAAAGGAGTTTAAGCATGCGTGGGATAGGCATAAGGCTATCCTAACTATGAGATAAGGCCAGGGTCTAACGAAAGTATTTAGAAAATTGGGCACACTAGAAGGGCCGAATAGTTCTTATCTGCTGTCATATTCTATGTTTCTAATGGTTTGCGCAACATCGATGTAACCTGGCAGCCAAGGAGAGTGGACTGGAATGCGCATGCATGAACAATGACGACTTCACTGTACTAGTCAGTGGGGGCGCTAGACGCCATTGAGTGAGCAAGTGTAATGTTTGGCTGTCGCATTCAAAATGACTGAGCAAGTAGAGCAACAAAGCTGCATCAAATTTTGAGTTAAGCTTGAACATTCCTCCGTGGAAGCTACGGATGATTCAGAAGGCTTTTGAGGACCTTGCAATGAGTGCAGTGAAAAAAGTGTGGCACAAACGCTTCGAAGATGGTCGAGAATCTGTTGGAAGAATTGGTGCCCTGCAATTTCTGGCTTTTCCCAAAGCTAAAATCATCTTTAGAAAGGAGATTTTAGACAGTCAATGAGATTCAGTTAATACGACGAGGCAGCTGATTGTGATTGCAACAAAGGATTTTGAACAGTAGAAGAGACGCTGGTAGAACAGTTTGAGGTCCCAAGGTGTCATTGTCCTGTGTACAATGTTTCCTGTATCTTCTTCAGTAAAGGTCTCCATATTGCATATCACATTGCTGGATACTTCCCACACTGACCCCATATCATTTATGCACTTGCGGGCCCTCCTTGCTTTTATAATGAAAAGGGCCCAGGAGGGTCCAAGTTCCACTTGCAACAGGGAGAGGACCTGCTGCCTGTCTGCCGTAGGTGAAAGATGAGACCCGTGGCACTCTTCAGTTTACAACCTGCTGTGTCACCAGACCATCGGGGAATCTAGTGTCCCACCTCACTGGCCATAGGTTAGAGGCAGTGAGGAGGGAATATACTTACTTTATTATACAGTTTAAACAACTGCACTACCCCTCCCCCCCCCAAAATCCTTACCCCTACACGCACAGCCACAGCATTTATTACATAGACATATTCATTAAACACTGCATACACTACACAGACATTGTATCCTCTACACACCGCTTACACTACACAGACATTGTATCGTCTACACACCGCTTACACTACACAGACATTGTATCGTCTACACACCGCATATACTACACATTGTATCCTCTACACACCGCTTACACTACACAGACATTGTATCGTCTACACACCGCATACACTACACAGACATTGTATCGTCTACACACCGCATACACTACAAACTGCGTCCAGTAGACATTGTATCCTCTACACACTGCAACCACTTTCCTCACACACTGCATCGATTTTACCTATCTTTGTGGGAGGACTTGGGGGCAAGATTCAGGGGCCCAAACCTTGAGCTTTGTTGAGGGCACCAAAATTTGTATGGCAGCCGTGCTACCAGCTGTGGGTATATAGAGCAGTGTGGTGCATTGAGATTCCATCTTGGAACGCTAAGACACTGTATGTAAATAAGATGCCTGACATATTTCATAAGCTCTTCAATCAGTAGTGTAATTTGGAAGCGTATAATGTCTGCACACCTGGAGTGCCATACTTCAATAGGGGGAGTGAAACTAATAATCAATGAGGAATTCAGAAGGAGCTACTTTTTGTTATCTGACTTTCCACATGAGTAATGTGTTCAGGAAAACATGGCTGATCTAGGAACCCTAACTTACACCTGCACCCCACATTCTTAGCTTTTGGATAAGGAGGGACAGCAGGGTAGGAAAATGGTCTTAATAGAGAAAAAGAGGAGTTTTACTGCACACAGACGCTTCCAACGAAATCAGCAGGAACTTTTCTTGCAATTGCTTGTTTATTGTATAAAAAAAAATACACACAAGGCAGAAACGATAAAAATAAATATATGTGTTAGGGGAGTCAAATCCAAACAGAAATCAAGACAAACGAGGGGTGGGCACCCTAAACAAAAAACTGAATAGAACGCATTTTGTGTCTAACAAGAGATGCTTCCTCGGCATAGGAAAACTGGACTGTTTACTGTGGTTTCATAAGAGGGACTGTCCCTTCTTGCAAGCGATGGTACTTGGCAATCACAGTGTATTTTAGGGAACAAAAAAAAATCAAAAAAAATCACATAAAGCAGGAATTTACTTACAAAGAGATTTATTAGATTGAAAAATATTTCATCATAAAAATAAGAGTCTGCATATTCTGCAATCTATGGCACTCCAGCTGTAGTGGACCACATCTCTCATGATGAAATAAACAACAACAGAAGTACAGAAGGATGCCTATCCCTGACGGAGATTAATGATGGATGACCATGCCACTGCAAATATTTGTGAACTACATTTCCCATGATGCTCATTCACTGGAAATTAAGATCACAAGCAGCTGTTGTGACAAAGTTTACCCTTAGAATAATACCCTGAGACCCCTTACAGTACAGGTTAGAAATATCAAAATGGAATTAAGTTAAAATACAAGAAAAGATATAACAATAAAAAAAATGTTTTTTTAAATTTCCAAGCTGCCACCCCAAACCATCAGTAAAATGAAAGAACAAAGTAAAAAAAAACAAAAAAAAACAGAAATCCTTGACAACAAAACGGGAACAAAATATTTTCCCAACAACTTTGCAGCTACTTCGATGTAAACTGTAATTAGCCAGAAGCGGTTTCAGAACCCTGTATTTTACTGCTAGTGACACAGTGAAAAAAATGCAGTTCCTTAAAGCTGCACTGTCGCCCTCCTCCCTCCCCCTCCTCTCTCTTTTTTTAAATGAAATACTCATATTTATTGTGTTGGAATTTCAGTGAAATTCCAATCAAGTCAAACGAAATACTGAGACAAAGTAGGCACTACCTCCTAGAGATTCTCATGGCAGCTTCTGTGATGCCATCATTACGGACGACTGGTGTTCAAATCCAATGCCTTTCACAGAGAAGCATCGGGACACACCGACAGAGCACTGAAACTGATGCTTTACTTTTTCATTTTCTAAAAGACTTTTCCTGCTGGAAACACAAACCAAAAACGTGATATGCAAAACACATTCAGCAATAATAAATAGTAAATAAAAAGTGCACTGTGAAGTCTTCCTTAAACTTTAACTTTTTAGTTCATTTAGTGCATACATTCCTTTTTTTATCATCCACGATTAAAAGGAAGAGGCCAGATGGATGTCAAAAGTTGCAACTGTTGAGCTCATTTTTCCAGGTCACAGCTCATCATGAGATGAAGAGTGTAAGCCATGCTGAATCTCCCCCCTGGAGCCCTTGAGGGTTTTTTGGGAGCCACTCCAATCTGTGCGCACGTTATCATCATCCCAGAGAGTGGAGGTCTCTGTGTCACTCAACCAGTTGGGCTCCCCGGTGTAGTGGGTGGGATAAACAAGGAGCGGGTTCACGGAGTACATCTGTAAGTTACGGTTCACAAAATGCTTCTTGTACTCCTCACTGTGGGGATGGAGGGAGAATATTGAAGCATGCACACAAAAATAACACACGGACTCATTAGCTATGAATGAAAAGGGAAGATATTAAAAAGAAACACATACAATGAGGAAGGATGATTCCAGGATACATTGAAATCACAATTCTATGGGGATCTACGAAATTTTAAGTTGGATCATGTGCATCTGAGATGGGAACATTCTTAGATATCATCACAAAGGTTGACAGGCAACATTTTCATGAAATTTCACTTGTAACTGTAGTCACAACTATTGGTTTAATGAATACAGATCAAAGGTAAAGACATAAAAAACAAACACAGGCCAAAGAGAGGAGGAAGCTGACACAATGTAAAGACAGAGGCAACACAAAGTAACACTGAGCCAGGTTACACCTACTTTGGGTGTGTGTCGGACATGATGGGTAGAAATTCATCAACTGGGAGCATTTTGGACAGCGGCTCAGCATTCAGCAGTTTCAGGGCTCCTTGCAGTGAGATGATGTAGCACAGAGTCCAGTAGGAATAATCAGCCACCACTAAGTATGGTACATTGTCCACAGCCTCCTCTGGATCTGTAGTCACCTGCTTCCTTCCAATGTATCTGCAGGAGACAATGATCTGTCATTAACCAACATTCTAAATAATGGGTTTTCATTATTAGAAATGAGTACTCATGATATCTCACGGGAAATAGAGGTTGTTTTAGACCACCATGGCATGCGATTCATTAGTTAGAAATAGGGCACCTGTCATATCTTGCAGGAGATAGGAAACCTGTTAACCACTGAGACTCCATGCCATTTATTTAAAATTATAAAGTGACCTCATGAAATCATGTTGGTAAATCCAATCACTGTCACAAGATCCCCAATCACGTTGTGTTATTTATCAGAAGCACACCTCAGACCTTCTGTGCTTTAACCTAATCAAAGCTTCCATAACAAGGCACAGGCAGCACCGAATAAGGGATCATTGATGAGGGATCTCAGGCTTGTCTCTACGAGCAAGGCCTTTTTATCTCTCATTGTTTAATACATATGATAAGTGTGGGGCTTCATGGCAGAAGTGAGAGTGAGGTAGAGCTGGGTTGAAGAAATAAGGCAAGGCATTGAGCAATCACATGTAAGTGGTTTTGGCATAGCAAGGACACAACCATAATTTATATATTTATTGATTCTACTGCCTCGCTAATTACCTTCTGAGCTCTTACTATTAATACTGCTACTTAATGCGGCTGCCTGTCAACCCTCGTGACACATTACATCATACCTTACTGTCATAGAAGATGTATAGAAGCAAGAAATTATCGAGAGAGAGAGACTGTGTGTATAATGACAGCACTAAAGTTATAAAGTCTGATTTTATCTACAATAGTACAAACAATAGGATGAAGAAAAGATAAAAACCAGGAATGAAAGTTATATAAAGTATAGTATACATTTGCCATTATTTAGAAGATTTAATGGGGCACTTTAAGATTTGACTTGCCCTGCAGACATCATTAATAATATCCAGTGTTCTTTACTAGTCACTGTATGCATTTCTCCTTACATCAGGTCCCAATCGAGCTGAGCTTTGCGGACATCATTCATGAGACGCATCATTTTTCTTTTGAAGAATGATCCAAAGCGAACATCATCCTCAAACACCAAGGTCGCGTCGAGCTGGTTCTCTGCAATCTATAGAGGAAAAGAAAAAAAGAAAGTTAACATTTATAACTAGAGAGGGAAAACAGAATAAAAAAGTGAGAATCCCCCCACCCCCCCAAAAAAACAAAATTGATATTCCATAGGGGACATCACTAGTCTAACTAATGCAGTGGTTATGATTCTTCTTTGACAGAGAGCCCAGTAGTGTAAATGACGTCAGCTTTGGACATCACATTCTGAAGCACCTCTGTTACTGCTATTCCCAGTTTAGAGAAGGCTCCAATGCTCTGGGCAGGGCAATGCTGCTTCTGATGCCTGTTGACTATTATGATCAAGATTCAGCAAAGCTAAACAGGTGCTATTTTGAGGAACAAGGTGCTAAATGTTGTTAGTCATTCTATTAGTTTCCATGGTGATTGCTCATTATTTAGTTCTTAGTCCAGCAAACCTGTTTTTGCCTTGATTACTTGATTAGCCACTTTGTTGCACTAACATAAACAGGCAAACAGCAGTTCAATACATATAAAATATACACAAGGTTTAGCTGCTGTTTAGACAAAAATTGTAACGGACGACATGTGATCCAAGTGACTATGGATATGTATATGTTGTTGGTTCTGTGGGCGTACTGGTACATGATAGAAATGTCAAGTAAAGTGGCAATAGAGTGTATTTATTGGGAACAGAATCAAGGAAGACTCTGTCCTGTAAAAGTTACCTCTTTCCATATCTGGAAATGGCTCAAAAAGCAGCCAACCTCACCCTTCGTAAGAGTTCTGCCAGAGAATGGGTCATAATATCCTGGAAGCAGGTTGATGCCCATACGTTTAATAGCACTGCTGTTGAGAGCACTGGGAAAACAGAGATACACCATATTATTAAAGAAAGCAGTACACCCTTCAGCCCTGGCGGGTACCCTTAAAATTGAAGTCAAAGAAGTCACAGTTTTCTTACTACACAAAGTACATGATGACTGAATTATGGGCACACCGTTTGCCCATGTAAGAAATAAAACCAAGCAATCACTCACATTAAACTGTATTTGCATGGATCATCTAATACAGTTTCTGTAATATGCTCCAAATGTCTCCGGTGTAATGTGTCTGGATGGTAATACACATCAGTTACACCAGAGAGCTATCAAATATTTTAGCACATTCTGAATCACAAGGTGAATGACGGGCAGAGCTGCCAAGTGTGACATACGACCCACACGTGTCATCCAAGCATCACGGAGGAGAACTTGAGACAGGGATATGGAAATATTGTACTAAATGCCATTGGCTTTTTGTGCAGAGCATTTGGTTTATTACGAGAAAACAGAAGAGAATTAAAAAATATAAAGAAATTGTCTATATTGCACCAACCCTAGCTGTAGCGTACTCAAAAAAATTAATAAGGCATCTTGACCAGACCAACTCCACTCCACTCCATTTTGGATTGTATAAAATATTTAAAACCGGTTTAGAATTTGGCCTTTTGTAAAGGAACAGTCCACTGCCCATATTGTATTTTTTGTTAAATCACTATTTGTAGTTATTCCCCCAATGAATACATGCATGCATTTAATTAGGCGTATATCTAAAAACAACTTGTAAAAGTATAAAATATAATTTGCAAGCCCTCTGCTTCTAACCCCGTCCAGACTTTCTGTGGTTGTCTAATCACAGAATTCCCAGTGCGGCTCAATGAGAGGTCTTTGCAAGGCTGGTGCTCTGAGCAATTGCTGCCTCTTGAGTTTAGCTCCACTGAGCTAACCAAACCAGGAAGTAACAGGACCGGTTGTCTGATTGACAGCCCTGGGTGGAACAAGGTTACTTAAAAAACAAAGTGACAATATCTACTGAAATTTGCACTTTTTGTAAAATGAAAAATGAGGCAAACTCCTCGAAGCATTTCATCAAGCTAAAGTGCCTGGACTGTTCCTTCAAAGTATTGTCTCACAAAGGGCAGGGCTACCTTTACAGATCTACAGTTAGATGGTGTTTGCAGAGGATTTATATCTCTAGGCAATAATGTATGAGCAAATCAGCTCTTGACCCAAAGTTGGGTCCACATGCTGTTTCAGTGGGTCCCCATTGCTTGCAACAGATTATATTAAAATACAAAAAAACAAAGCAAAAAACAAAGTCCATTAAATTGCATGTAGCATATTGCTAGCAAGCAACTTTCTCTGTAACAAATCCACCTACTGCTGAACAATTACTGTTACTTGTTTGAACAAGTCTTCGACGAGCAGGGCCAGATTAACATAAGGGCTGATGGAACTGCAGCTCCAGGCACATTGATAAGAAAAAATAAAATAATTTTTTTTTTAGAAAAATAACTTTCAAATGCTGGTATTTTTCTCAGTATAAAAAGAGATTACTCTGCAATATCAGCACCGGCCAGTAGGGGTTGCTGCCTGCAGAGACAGCCTACAGCTCAGGGAAGTGAGGGATGGGGTAAAGGCTTCAGGGAGACATGGGGACACAGACACTAGGGGACACTAAGACATGGGGACACAGGGAGACCTCTGGGGTCACTGAGACACTTGTGGACACTTGGAGACACGGGAACACAGACACACATAGGGACACTGAGACCTGGGAACACAGACACTAGGGGATGCTGGGAGACATAGGGACACAGACAAACTTGAGGACACAGACATGGGGAAACAGATACACATGGGGACACTGAGACAGTAGGGACACTGGCTGGAAAACATGGGGACACTGAGACACTAGGGACTCAATGTCCACAAGTGTCTCAGTGACCCCATGTCTCCCAGTGTCCCCAAGTGTCATGGGGACAATGGGAGACGTGGGGACACAGGCACTAGGGGACACTGGGCAACATGGGGCACTGAGACACTGTGATACATAGTTTCAGTGTCCCCAAATATCTCAGTGTCCATAAGTGACATGGGGACACAGAGACACTGTGATACATAGGGACACTGCGATACATAGAGACACTGTGATACATAGTCTCAGTGTCCCCTAGTGACATGGGGACACTGGGAGCATTCGATCTATACAGCAGAATCAAACTGTTAGTGTTTTAGTGATTTTATAGATTCTTCTCTTATGTTACTCCTTGTGATTTACATCATGTGATGTCACGCATACATAATTAGTTATGCAAATTAGTAAGGCCTGTATTTTTCCCCCCAAGACAGGTGGCAACCCTAACTACTCTTCACATACTCTTGCTTAAGTATGGAAACTCAAGAGGGATAAATGGAAACAAAACTTGTGTGGACTAGCTGAAATGAAAGGAACACTATAGTCACCTAAACAACTTTAGCTTAAAGGACCACTATAGTGCCAGGAAAACATACTCGTTTTCCTGGCACTATAGTGCCCAGAGGGTGCCCCCACCCTCAGGGACCCCCTCCCGCCAGGCTCTGGAAAGGGGAAAGGGTTAAAAACTTACCTTTTTCCAGCGCTGGGCGGGGAGCATTCTGCCTCCGATCCTCCTCCTGGGCTGAATGCGCACGCGCGGCAAGAGCTGCGCGCGCATTCAGCCCGTCGCATAGGAAAGCATTTACAATGCTTTCCTATGGACGCTTGCGTGCTCTCACCGTGAAAATCACAGTGAGAAGCACGCAAGCGCCTCTAGTGGCTGTCAATGAGACAGCCACTAGAGGATTTGGAGGAAGGCTTAACCCATTGATAAACATAGCAGTTTCTCTGAAACTGCTATGTTTATAAAAAAATGGGTTAACCCTAGAAGGACCTGGCACACAGACCACTTCATTAAGCTGAAGTGGTCTGGGTGCCTAGAGTGGTCCTTTAATAAAGCAGTTTTAGTGTATAGATCATGCTTCTCAGGTTTCATTGATCAATTCACTGTTAAATCACTTTGTTCCTGTTTATGCAGCCTTTGTCACACCTCCCCTGGCTATGATTGACACAGCCTGCATAGAAAAACAAACAGGTTTCACTTTCAATCAGATGTAATTTACCTTAAACAATTGTATCTCTTTCTCTGTAAATATAACTTTAGTCACATACAGGAGGCTCTTGCAGGGTCTACCAAGCTATTAACATAGCAGGGCATAAGAAAATCTAAATTATACAGAACTTGCAATAAAGGAAGGATACACTTTAGATGACTTTACAGGAAGTGTTTAGGAAGACTGTGCAAGTCACATGCAGGGAGGTGTGACTAGGGTTCATAAACAAAGTGATTTAACTCCTACATGGCAGAGAATTGAGCAGTGAGACTGCAGGGACATGATCTATACACCAAAACTGCTTCATTAAGCTAAAGTTGTTTTGATGACTATAGTGTCCCTTTAAGGTAAATGCTGACTTTCTTCTCTCTAACACTGTGGCATGTTCCCTTTCTTCTACACTCACTACATCCACCTTTTCTCTGTCTTAGACTGTTTACCAGGAGCTTCTGCCTGCTAGTAAGAAGGTAAGGAGACAAGTGAGTGCTAGGGGACAATTCTTAGAAAGCATGGGGCGAGCGCCTCATTAGACACATTTATGCCAAGCTCAGGATGCTGTTGGCCAGCATGCATGATTGGCAGGCAGCCTGACATGCATTCATGCCAGGCTAACCTTCCATGTCTTTGGGCAAACACGATTCCTTTTTGAGCATATTTGTCCCTTTCGGGAGTTCTGGTTACATGATCTGCGTCAGTGGCCCACCTTTTTACACCACCCACTGACTTCCTGCTTCACTGCACACTGCTGTTAGGGGGTATGGATTTACTTGAAAGATGAAAGCATGAATTAGATGGAGATTAGCATATTTTAATAGAGTTTTCTTATAGCTGTATCCTATGAGTTTCCCTCCGGCAGCATCTCCACCAGATACATAACACTGAAGAGTGTTTTTGGTCGATAAGATTCTGTACTCAGGTCCCTCATAATTCTCAGCACCAGGCCCACTGGGCTCTTAATCTGGCCCTGTCTACGAGAACCAGTAATATTTATAAAAGAACAATTTATAACACTACTCCTAAAAAGCCGCATACCTGCCATCTACAGCATCCAGAACTCGACACGATATTTCCTGTAGATGTAGGGAGTGTAGCATTCTCTCCCGTTTCTCAGGACGACGTAGCAAGTTAATCAGGAATACCTAGGATGAAGGCACAGAGACAAAGATTTTAGTACCACTGGAATCTATTCTAATTGGCAGGCAGATTGGGGAAAAAGTAAAATCGGAAAAATTTGAACAGCAGAACGAAGTGTTCAAAGAAACTGACCGGATATTCTTAAAGGGACACTATAGGCACCCAGACCACTTCAGTTCATGGAAGTGGTCTGGGTACAATGTCACAGTCCCCCTTAGTCCTGTAATGTAAATCATTGAAGTTTCAGAGAAGCTGCAATGATAACATTTTAGGATTAAGACTGCCTTTAGTGGCTGTCAACAAGACAGTCACTAGAGGCACTTTCTGCTTGCTAGGTAACTTTTGATCATCTGACACATGCGCATTAACCCCCCTGTCGGATGACATCGGAGGAGGTGGAGCGACGACGCAGCGCCGAGGGATATCGTGGTTTTATATGATAAGTGTTAAAAGGTTTTTGGTTTCTTTTCTTTTTTACTCTTGCAGTGCCGGGGAGGGGGACAGGGAATTATAGTGTAAGGTATACAAATTTGTATTCCTTACACTATAGAATCCCTTTAAAAGAATGTCTGTGCTTTTCATATAGATGTAGCTTTACTTATGGCATCTCATAGTTGATTAAGCGGCTCCAGTACACACCCCAGCCAATTGTAATAGATCATCATGAGGTCTCTCAGTTAGGTACCATCACTCACAGCAACTGCAGAGAGAAATCTTTATTTTTTATGTGCCTTTTAAAGACCAATTACTCTTAATTCTGACCTTCTTCACAAACTGGTCTTAGGCTTACTATAGTGGCATTTTCAGTACACATCCAAGTTTCATCTAACTCACTGTATCTGGTTGTAGTAAAGTTCTTTAAGTTAGTAGTTTACAAAAATTAATAAAGAGGATTATTAAAATGTAAGTCACATTGAAATAAGGAGGTGGTTAGAGAATGTGTGTAGTCAGGTAGAGAGAAAGGACAGATGAGAGAAAGGACAGATATTAGTGACAAACAAACATGGTACCTCATCAAACCCCATCTTGTCAGGGTTCCTTTGTGGGGCAGGAACAAACTCAGAAGGCAGAAACGTGACACCTTCCACTGCTAAAGATCAAAGAAAACAAGCAATAGGCTGTGATTAAATCATTGTCTGCCAATCTTTCCATTTACTAGGGTTGACACTTCCTGCCACCACAAATATTTTCAGAACAAATCTTCTTGATCTACTTCACCCTCTCTCACTCCCCCACAACTGTTCCTCACCCATGGCTTCCAGCATAAGGTGCACAAAGTTTAGATGGTCGTCCTCCATTTCTTGATGTGGCTGAGCCGGAACATTGATGTAACCATAGTGGTGGTTGTTACACACATAGCCTTGTACTCCTAGAACAGATACAACAAGACACTCAACCAGGTTGGCCTTACAGTCAGTGGAGACCTGTTTTAAAGAGCTTGCAATCTATTATTTATAAAAAGTAAGAAAATAGCTTCTGATATGCATTTACTTTTATTTTATCTTCAAAAGGGGAAGCTGTTGGCAATGTGATAATGATTGCTGGAACCTTTTTTTTTTGTACTTGGAATACCCAAATGGGCTACACCTGGGGTGCCCAAAAGGTTGCTCCCCAGATTTTGTAGAACTGCAACTCCCATGATGCTTTGCATGCCTTTAGAATGACAAAGCATCATGGAAGCTGTAGTTTTAAAAATATATGGGCTAGACTTAGTCTCTAATGTTCCGCAAACAACTCCCCCACTAGACTAGAAATTAATGGGTATAAAGCCTAGCTCACTGTGATTTTGAATTAGGAATAGTAGCTTTTACAAAAAGTTTCACACACCTGCTGCCAAACATGAGTAAGCAAACACAATAATGTCATCAAAGGTCCAAGTGTAGTTGACGTGAGGGGGGTAAAAAGCCAAGCAGTGACTCTCCTCCCTTCGAAGATCCACAAGGAATGTTGAGTGAACCATGGGTACTGGAAAACAGCCTGTGCGCTGCCGGTTCACAGTCGGATAATAATCAGGTGTCCGGCGGTAAAAACCCTGTTGGAGAAAAGTGCGATAAGAAAGCTATTGGCAAAAAGAAAAGTGAATTATGAGAAATATACTAGGGATCGAGCGATATTGATTTTTTAGAGCCGATACCAATACCGATAATCTGTGAACCTTCAGGCCAATAGCCGATAGCTTACCGATAGTCTGTACATTAACTGGGTTTTTTTTTTTTTTTGCTAATCTTTTTTTTATTAAGTGGTAAATGCACAAAATATACATGCCAGTCAAATTTTTTTTTTTATGTTTTCAAGAATATTTACATGTGTGTGTAGTGGATGCAGTGAGAATATTTGATTAGTAAATGCAGTGTGTGTGTGTAGTGGATGCAGTGTGTGTGTGTAGTGGATGCAGTGTGTGTGTGTAGTGGATGCAGTGTGTGTGTGTAGTGGATGCAGTGTGTTTGTATAGTGGATGCAGTGTGTTTGTATAGTGGATGCAGTGTGTTTGTATAGTGGATGTAGTGTGGGTGGGTGGTGGATGCAGTGTGTTTGTATAGTGGATGCAGTGTGGGTAGTGAATGCAGTGTAGGAGTAGTGGATGCAGTGTATGAGTAGTCGATGCAGTGTATGTGTGTTTGTGTAGTGGATGCAGTGTGGGTAGTTAATGCAGCGTATGAGTAGTGGGTGCAGTGTGGGTAGTGGATTCAGTGTGTTTGTGTGTAAATAAGTGCGGTTGGAACTCCCCCCCACCTCTATCCTGTCTCTTAGTACCCCCCTCATTCCCCTGTTCCTCTCCCTTCTCTTTTAGTGGCCCCCCCCCACCCCAGTGTTCCTTTTCCCTTCCCTCCCCTGTACCTTAGTGTCCTCCCTTAATGTTCCTCTCTCCCCCCTCGTGTTCTTTCCCACCTCCCCTGTCCCATAGTGTTCTTCACGCCCCTTCCCTGTCCTATAGTGTACCTTTCCACCCCCCACCCCCCATAGTGTTCCTTTCCCCACCCCTCACCCCCACTGTGTTCCTTTCCACCCCCAACTATTTTGGCCTAAAATGTAAAATTTTATTTAAATTTTCAACAATTCACACTTCAGTGAATAATCCTGTAAAGGGAGTGGTAGAAAAAAAAACCCACAAGAAAAATAAAACCTACTAAACTAAAAATAACCCTATTACTAACTACAGTTAAATTAATTTGGACTTTAGAACAGATTAAATAAGAAACAATGGAACTTATCTAAAAGTCCCACCATGCACTGGGAAATAAACAATACAAGTGAACCAACCTGAGGGGTTATTCCGCACCAAAAGTTTGAATATCCAGTCTGCGAATCCAACATGGGAGCTATCAGGGTTTTATTCTCAGCCATAAGCAGCTCCAATGTATTCTCATTGGACAGAACATTGTCGGCATCTGTGTACTAGGAGACAAGAGAGACTACAATGAACCAAAAGACAGCACAGCAGAGACCAGCACTGGGTACACTACCTCCCTCCAGAGAATGACAGCACAGCAGAGACTAGCACTAGGTACACTACCTCCCTCCAGAGGATGACCGCACAGCAGAGACTAGCACTGAGTACACTACCTCCCTCCAGAGAATGACAGTACAGCAGAGACTAGCACTGAGTATACTACCTCCCTCCAGAGAATGACAGTACAGCAGAGACTAGCACGGAGTACACTACCTCCCTCCAGAGAATGACAGTACAGCAGAGACTAGCACTGAGTACACTACCTCCCTCCAGAGAATGACAGTACAGCAGAGACTAGCGCTGAGTACATTACCTCCCTCCAGAGAATGACAGCACAGCAGAGACTAGCACTGAGTACACTACCTCCCTCCAGAGAATGACAATACAGCAGAGACTAGCACTGGGTACATTACCTCCCTCCAAAGAATGACAGCACAGCATAGATTAGCACTGAGTACACTACCTCCCTCCAGAGAATGACAGCACAGCATAGATTAGCACTGAGTACACTACCTCCCACCAAAGAATGACAGCACAGCATAGATTAGCACTGGGTACACTACCTCCCTCCAGAGAATGACAGCACAGCAGAGACTAGCACTGAGTACTCTACCTCCCTCCAGAGAATGACAGTACAGCAGAGACTAGCACTGGGTACATTACCTCCCTCCAAAGAATGACAGCACAGCATAGATTAGCACTGAGTACACTACCTCCCACCAGAGAATGACAGCACAGCATAGATTAGCACTGGGTACACTACCTTCCTCCAGAGACTGACAGCACAGCAGAGACTAGCACTGGGTATACTACCTCCCTCCAGAGAATGACAGCACAGCAGAGACTAGCACTAGGTACACTACCTCCCTCCAGAGAATGACAGCACAGCAGAGATTAGCACTGGGTACACTACCTCCCTCCAGAGAATGACAGCACAGCAGAGACTAGCACTGAGTACTCTACCTCCCTCCAGAGAATGACAGCACAGCATAGATTAGCACTGGATACACTACCTCCCCCCAGAGTGTACATAACAGCACTATAGAGAATGACTCTATGCCAACCACAGTAGTGCAGAGTCTGAGTGTTACATCAGCACAGACCTACAGAATGCTAGAGTGCTACAATACTACATAGATAGAGGAAGTGTTACGGTACCTTACAAAGTGCTACAATATCTCACAGCACATATACAAAGTATTACAGTGTCCAACAGCATAGGCTGTAAAGTGCAGCAGTACCACATAGCACAGATAGAGTGCGCTATAATACCTCACAGTATAGCTGGAGATAGAGAGCTACAGAACACATAGCAAAGAATGAGAGAGTGCTACAGCACACACAGCAGAGAATGAGAGAGTGCTACAGAACACATAGCAAAGAATGAGAGAGTGCTACAGCACACACAGCAGAGAATGAGAGAGTGCTACAGCACACACAGCAGAGAATGAGAGAGTGCTACAGCACACACAGCAGAGAATGAGAGAGTGCTACAGCACACACAGCAGAGAATGAGAGAGTGCTACAGCACACACAACAAAGAATGAGAGAGTGCTACAGCACACACAGCAAAGAATGAGAAAGTGCTCCAGTAATACACAATACAGACTGCGGACTGAGAGAGTGCTACAGTATTACACAGTACAGACTGCGGACTGAGAGAGTGCTACAGTAATACACAGTACAGACTGCGGACTGAGAGAGTGCTACAGTAATACACAGTACAGACTGCGGACTGAGAGAGTGCTACAGTAATACACAGTACAGACTGCGGACTGAGAGAGTGCTACAGTAATACACAGTACAGACTGCGGACTGAGAGAGTGCTACAGTAATACACAGTACAGACTGCGGACTGAGAGAGTGCTACAGTAATACACAGTACAGACTGCGGACTGAGAGAGTGCTACAGTAATACACAGTACAGACTGCGGACTGAGAGAGTGCTACAGTAATACACAGTACAGACTGCGGACTGAGAGAGTGCTACAGTAATACACAGTACAGACTGACGGACTGAGAGAGTGCTACAGTAATACACAGTACAGACTGAGAGAGTGCAACAGTAATACACAGTACAGACTGCGGACTGAGAGAGTGCAACAGTAATACACAGTACAGACTGCGGACTGAGAGAGTGCAACAGTAATACACAGTACAGACTGCGGACTGAGAGAGTGCTACAGTAATACACAGTACAGACTGAGGACTGAGAGAGTGCAACAGTAATACACAGTACAGACTGAGAGAGTGCTACAGTAATACACAGTACAGACAGAGAGTGCAACAGTAATACACAGTACAGACTGCGGACTGAGAGAGTGCAACAGTAATACACAGTACAGACTGCGGACTGAGAGAGTGCAACAGTAATACACAGTACAGACTGCGGACTGAGAGAGTGCTACAGTAATACACAGTACAGACTGAGGACTGAGAGAGTGCTACAGTAATACACAGTACAGACTGAGGACTGAGAGAGTGCAACAGTAATACACAGTACAGACTGAGAGAGTGCAACAGTAATACACAGTACAGACTGCGGACTGAGAGAGTGCTACAGTAATACACAGTACATACTGCGGACTGAGAGAGTGCTACAGTATTACACAGTACAGACTGAGGACTGAGAGAGTGCTACAGTAATACACAGTACAGACTGAGGACTGAGAGAGTGCAACAGTAATACACAGTACAGACTGCGGACTGAGAGAGTGCTACAGTAATACACAGTACAGACTGCGGACTGAGAGAGTGCTACAGTAATACACAGTACAGACTGCGGACTGGGAGAGTGCTCCAGTAATACACAGTACAGACTGCGGACTGAGAGAGTGCTACAGTATTACACAGTACAGACTGCGGACTGAGAGAGTGCTCCAGTAATACACAGTACAGACTGCGGACTGAGAGAGTGCTACAGTAACACACAATACAGACTGAGAGAGTGCTACAGTAACACAGTACAGACAGAGAGTGCTACAGTAACACAGTACAGACTGCGGACTGAGAGAGTGCTACAGTAATACACAGTACAGACTGCGGACTGAGAGAGTGCTACAGTAATACACAGTACAGACTGCGGACTGAGAGAGTGCTACAGTAATACACAGTACAGACTGCGGACTGAGAGAGTGCTACAGTAACACACAGTACAGACTGCGGACTGAGAGAGTGCTACAGTAATACACAGTACAGACTGAGGACTGAGAGAGTGCTACAGTAATACACAGTACAGACTGAGGACTGAGAGAGTGCAACAGTAATACACAGTACAGACTGAGAGAGTGCTACAGTAATACACAGTACAGACTGAGAGAGTGCAACAGTAATACACAGTACAGACTGCGGACTGAGAGAGTGCAACAGTAATACACAGTACAGACTGCGGACTGAGAGACTGCTACAGTAATACACAGTACAGACTGAGGACTGAGAGAGTGCAACAGTAATACACAGTACAGACTGAGAGAGTGCTACAGTAATACACAGTACAGACTGAGAGAGTGCTACAGTAATACACAGTACAGACTGCGGACTGAGAGAGTGCAACAGTAATACACAGTACAGACTGCGGACTGAGAGAGTGCAACAGTAATACACAGTACAGACTGCGGACTGAGAGAGTGCTACAGTAATACACAGTACAGACTGCGGACTGAGAGAGTGCTACAGTAATACACAGTACAGACTGAGGACAGAGAGTGCTACAGTAATACACAGTACAGACTGAGGACTGAGAGAGTGCAACAGTAATACACAGTACAGACTGAGAGAGTGCAACAGTATTACACAGTACAGACTGAGAGAGTGCTACAGTATTACACAGTACAGACTGAGGACTGAGAGAGTGCTACAGTAATACACAGTACAGACTGAGGACTGAGAGAGTGCAACAGTAATACACAGTACAGACTGAGGACTGAGAGAGTGCAACAGTAATACACAGTACAGACTGCGGACTGAGAGAGTGCTACAGTAATACACAGTACAGACTGTGGACTGAGAGAATGCTACAGTAATACACAGTACAGACTGCGGACTGAGAGAGTGCTACAGTAATACACAGTACAGACTGCAGACAGAGAGTGCTACAGTAATACACAGTACAGACTGAGGACTGAGAGAGTGCAACAGCAATACACAGTACAGACTGCGGACTGAGAGAGTGCAACAGCAATACACAGTACAGACTGCGGACTGAGAGAGTGCTACAGTAACACACAGTACAGACTGCGGACTGAGAGAGTGCAACAGTAATACACAGTACAGACTGCGGACTGAGAGAGTGCTACAGTAATACACAGTACAGACTGAGGACAGAGAGTGCAACAGTAATACACAATACAGACTGCGGACTGAGAGAGTGCTACAGTAATACACAGTACAGACTGAGAGAGTGCAACAGTAATACACAGTACAGACTGAGAGAGTGCAACAGTAATACACAGTACAGACTGCGGACTGAGAGAGTGCAACAGCAATACACAGTACAGACTGCGGACTGAGAGAGTGCTACAGTAATACACAGTACAGACTGAGGACTGAGAGAGTGCAACAGTAATACACAGTACAGACTGCGGACTGAGAGAGTGCAACAGCAATACACAGTACAGACTGCGGACTGAGAGAGTGCTACAGTAACACACAGTACAGACTGAGGACTGAGAGAGTGCAACAGTAATACACAGTACAGACTGCGGACTGAGAGAGTGCTACAGTAATACACAGTACAGACTGAGGACAGAGAGTGCAACAGTAATACACAATACAGACTGCGGACTGAGAGAGTGCTACAGTAATACACAGTACAGACTGAGAGAGTGCAACAGTAATACACAGTACAGACTGAGAGAGTGCAACAGTAATACACAGTACAGACTGCGGACTGAGAGAGTGCAACAGTAATACACAGTACAGACTGCGGACTGAGAGAGTGCTACAGTAATACACAGTACAGACTGCGGACTGAGAGAGTGCTACAGTAATACACAGTACAGACTGCGGACTGAGAGAGTGCTACAGTAATACACAGTACAGACTGAGAGAGTGCAACAGTAATACACAGTACAGACTGAGAGAGTGCAACAGTAATACACAGTACAGACTGCGGACTGAGAGAGTGCAACAGCAATACACAGTACAGACTGCGGACTGAGAGAGTGCTACAGTAACACACAGTACAGACTGAGGACTGAGAGAGTGCAACAGTAATACACAGTACAGACTGCGGACTGAGAGAGTGCTACAGTAATACACAGTACAGACTGAGGACTGAGAGAGTGCAACAGTAATACACAATACAGACTGCGGACTGAGAGAGTGCTACAGTAATACACAGTACGAACTGAGAAGTGCAACAGTAATACACAGCACGAACTGAAGTGCAGCAGTAGCCACACAGTACAGACTGCGGACTGAGAGAGTGCAACAGCAGCCTGCAGTACAGACTGCGGACTGAGAGAGTGCAACAGTAATACACAGTACAGACTGCGGACTGAGAGAGTGCTACAGTAATACACAGTACAGACTGCGGACTGAGAGAGTGCTACAGTAATACACAGTACAGACTGAGGACAGAGAGTGCTACAGTAATACACAGTACAGACTGAGGACTGAGAGAGTGCAACAGTAATACACAGTACAGACTGAGAGAGTGCAACAGTATTACACAGTACAGACTGAGAGAGTGCTACAGTATTACACAGTACAGACTGAGGACTGAGAGAGTGCTACAGTAATACACAGTACAGACTGAGGACTGAGAGAGTGCAACAGTAATACACAGTACAGACTGAGGACTGAGAGAGTGCAACAGTAATACACAGTACAGACTGCGGACTGAGAGAGTGCTACAGTAATACACAGTACAGACTGTGGACTGAGAGAATGCTACAGTAATACACAGTACAGACTGCGGACTGAGAGAGTGCTACAGTAATACACAGTACAGACTGCGGACTGAGAGAGTGCTACAGTAATACACAGTACAGACTGAGGACTGAGAGAGTGCTACAGTAATACACAGTACAGACTGCGGACAGAGAGTGCTACAGTAATACACAGTACAGACTGCGGACTGAGAGAGTGCTACAGTAATACACAGTACAGACTGCGGACTGAGAGAGTGCTACAGTAATACACAGTACAGACTGCGGACTGAGAGAGTGCTACAGTAATACACAGTACAGACTGCGGACTGAGAGAGTGCAACAGTAATACACAGTACAGACTGCGGACTGAGAGAGTGCTACAGTAATACACAGTACAGACTGCGGACTGAGAGAGTGCTACAGTAACACACAGTACAGACTGCGGACTGAGAGAGTGCTACAGTAACACACAGTACAGACTGCGGACTGAGAGAGTGCTACAGTAATACACAGTACAGACAGAGAGTGCTACAGTAATACACAGTACAGACTGAGGACTGAGAGAGTGCTACAGTAATACACAGTACAGACTGCGGACTGAGAGAGTGCAACAGTAATACACAGTACAGACTGCGGACTGAGAGAGTGCTACAGTAATACACAGTACAGACTGAGAGTGCTACAGTAATACACAGTACAGACTGAGAGTGCAACAGTAATACACAGTACAGACTGCGGACTGAGAGAGTGCTACAGAACCAGACAGATTTAAATGGCAAAGTGCAAAGCTAGCACAACACCAGAAATAATGTCTGAATAAAGAAGGTAGCAAACAAAGCTCAGATACAATATGGAGATGTATCAAAGTGTCACACATAGTTTTTGTCACTTTATTTAATCTGTAAGGTTTTTTCATCTTTTGCTTGTTTTACATCCCCTCCCTTATTTCTAAATGCACGCAGTTTTTTCTGTGACACAAAGTATCTATCAAACCGGAAAACAGTCACTTTTCAGATCATTTTTATTGTATATTATATATTAGCAAACACATTAGAGACCAAAAATTCAAAAAAAAAAACTTTTACAGGACACTTTGAGAAATCTTCCTAAAGGTCTCTTCACAGTAATGTTACACCTATTCCCTATTTTCTTGTGCACCTATCCCAATAAAGCTCTCCTATTACCAAAATATAGTCAGCATTGTTCCTCCGTGCGTAGTCTAGAGCCTCCTGTCTCAGCCTCATAACATGCTCGTAACGTTCCTTGGGCCACTGCTTAGGACCAGTCTCCTCCGGATACCAGCTATGAAAGACACAGAGAGCAAAGCAAGGAACCTTCTTTAATCAATCACATGAAAAGGTGTGGATCGAGAATAAGGCATGATTGAGGAGAGCCGAGAACATTGTTGCATTTTGTAAGCCCTATAAATGTAATCTACACTGGTAAGGTTAGTTGGTGTTCCCACTCATATTGTAAAGTTAGTGTAAGGAAACAGTGATGGGAAATGAAGCCCCCCAATTAGGACCCTGCATAGCATTCAGTAGAAATCGTATCTGGTTCTAGGTACCATACGCCTGCCCACAGCATTTTACTGCAATTCTTTTGCTAAATGGTAAAAATGGGGAAAGAGATATTGTCTGGGTTACATGAAGAGAATAAAATGGAGAAAGAAGGAACATGGTATCCCAATGCCGGGGAGAGGTGCAGGAATAAATAAGTTTATAAAAAAAACTGTATATAGCTCCTGGCAAGGTGGAGACAAATCGTGACATCTATAGGTTGAAGAGCCCTTGTGGACGCCTCTCTAATTAATCTAAACATACTTTAAAAGAAACCTATAGTTCCAAAAATAAATTTTGTTTTTACGGATTATAAATGCTCTTTGTGACCTCTGTCCATTCCCCTTTGCTGCTAACAAAGGGATACTATATCTCACCAGAACAACTACAGTTTAATGTTGTTGTTCTGGTTTCTATAGTATGTCCCTGTGGGTATTTTAATGAAGACACTGCCTTTTCAGAGAAAAAGCAGTGTTTACATTACTGCTTAGGGACAACTCTAGTGGTAGTTACTCAGTCGGCTGCTAGAGGTGCTTCCTGGGTCAGTGCTGAGCAGCTCTATAGTGAGATGCTAACTGGCGCAGAGCGGCATTTTGACACCCATGCGCGATAGCTTCATAATTATTTCTTATGGGAAAGCATTGGATTGGCTGAGATAATCAAATTTAATGATCTCAGACAAGGGGGCAGTGCCAGTCACGACCGTGCGGCGCTGGAAAAAGGCGAGTAAAACACCTTTTTAAGCAGAGGCCTAAACAGCTATTCACACCTATAGGGTCAGGAAAACACATTTGTTCTCCTGACACTATAGTGGTCCTTTAATTTAAAAAAAGTTTTCTTGGGTTGTTCCCAGTGCCCAGACACCCCTACTGCAGCCACCTTCTCTGCCTTCGTCAGCATGCCTGCTGATGTCTTCCGTGATCTTGTCCAATACAATGCTTCTCATAGAGAAGCAATGGGGACGAGATAAACATGCATGGCAAATCACTGTGCTCTTCCAATCAAACATTGCTATGAGCTATGAGCAGCATTTGATTGAAGGACAGAGTTTGACTCGGTTCTGGAGGCAAAAGTGCCTCTAGTGGCTACCAGGAAGACAGAGGCGTATTTAACCCTGCAATGTAAACATTACTGTTTCTACAAAACGGCAATGTTTTACATTAAGCATTAAAATGACAGGACCACAGCTCCAAGACCACTTTGTGGAGATTAAAGGGTTACTCCAATCACAATAACTACTAAAAACATTCAGCTTCCCATTGCAGCTCAAGCTAATACTTCCTCATTAGACAAAGCAGCACAGAGGGGATGGACTGCTGGGGACTCTTGTTTAGTATTAAAACAAACAAACAAAAAAAACATTAAAGGGATACTATAATGCACTCTTGCTTCCTGCCTAACCCGTCCCCAGTGAATAAATGGTTAAAACCCCTTTATTTACTTACCATACCCCAGACGATGCTCCGCCCCCTCCAACGTCCCATGGCGAGAGAGCTATAATGCACATGCGCAGCAAATTCCATGCGTGCATTAGACCTCACCATAGGAATCAATGCTTTCCTACGTGAAAAAATCTGACGCTGGATGTCCTGATGCAAAGGTCCATTTGATTAAGAAAGGCAGACTTAGTGCTGCAATGTGAACATTGCAGTTTCTCTGGAACTTAAATATTTTACATTTCAGCGCTGAGTGCAAAAGGGACACTGCACCCAGACCACTGCAATGCCTATAGCGTCCGTTTAAATACTGTTTAATGCTGAATGAAATGACGGTACCAAGGGACTACAGCCACTATAACCCATTTAATCAGATAAGGCAGACACAGTGCATACAGTGTCCCTTTAAAACAAAACTACATTTCAGAGATGTAACAATATACCTCTGTGTAAAAGTGTCTTAGTATTTTACTGTTTGTTATCAGGCAGGAGCTGTAGCAGCTGATTACATGGTTGCAGAATCTATAAATACAAAACAGGGGCAGTCGCTGGAGATGGAATTAATAATCACCTGGGTGTCTCCTGTGCGATCCACTCCACAGTGTGGTACAATGGCCGCACACCTTCCAGCCAATCCTGAAGCACCTTGCTAGTTTGGTCCTCATTGTGATCTGTTGCACTCCTGTATGTAATAAGAGCACACAGATATCATTTAAAAAAAAACATCTGTTATCCAGGTATATAAATCATGTCCATTGTAATTTCTTCATTACATTAAAATATACAGAAGGAAAAAAGAAATAAAGTGGCAGGGCATGACAGGCACCATAACCACTACACTGCATTCTAATTGTTATGGTGTTTTGAGAGCGTTAAGTTTGCATAAATATTTATATTTACACATATCTGTCAGATACAGATGAGTTTGTTTAAATTGTTTTCATCTGTTAATATTTAGTAACATTGAATACTGCAATTTATTAAGCTGCCAGCGTACATTATAATTTTATTATTACTATTTCTATAGCGCAGGCAAATTCCATAGCACTGTACAATGGGATCAAACATGCACAGGGAAATTAATTTAGCCCCTGGGGCAATACACATGGGTTCTGCCACAGACAAATGCGCTAACAGGGTTCTCCAAACTCTGGTCCTCCAAAAGTTGCTGAACTACAACTCCCATGATTCTCTGGCTATCCATTTCATTCAAAGAATCATGGGAGTTGTAGTTCGGCAACATCTACAGGGCCAGAGTTTGGAGACCACTGCACTAAGGTGAAAGACTTATCAATGTGAACACTGGTGCTATTCTTGGTGTAAGTTCTAAATAAAAAGTGTCAAGGAATGTTTCTCAAAATGTAACTTTGCCCTAGAATAGCAAGTTTTGTCCTTACAAAGTGTGTAAAGTTGCAAAGATGAGAGGTCCTATTTTGGTGCAATGTCTAGTGCCCAAAGGGACCTTAAATACAAGTATAATATATGAAATACATCAATATAAACTATTCTTAGACTCAAAAAAACCATTAATTTACAGAAACTCTCTCTAGACATTTTGTATCAGCAAGCATAACCAAAGTTATAAAAGTTGAGATTTTCCACTGGACACCCCAAAAGTTGCCTGTTGCTCCTATGGAGACCCCCCCACAGCCCCCTCCTCACCAGACTGAGACCCTGTCCTTGGGGTACTTGAACCTCTCCAGCGCCCCCAGCATGTAGGGCAGAGAATAGGCCGCGTTGCGGGCGATAATGGCGATGACCAGGGAGGGCGGTCTATCCTGAGCGGGTTCGGTGACCAGTGCCTGCCCGGCAACCAGCGCCAGGCCCGGCAGGAGGAGCAGGATAGCAGCGGGGTCCATCCAGCAACACCGGGAGGGACGTGTCAGATCAGAGGAGGGGGAGAGGAGAGCGACCAGGAGGGGAGGGCTGTGGGTGGAGAGTCAGGGGTACCCTGGGCAGGGAGGAGGGGGCTGTGGGTGGAGAGTCGGGGGTACCCTGGGCAGGGAGGAAGGGGCTGTGGGTGGAGAGTCAGGGGTACCCTGGGCAGGGAGGAGAGGCTGTGGGTGGAGAGTCGGGGGCACCCTGGGCAGGGAGGAGGGGCTGTGGGTGGAGAGTCGGGGGCTGGGCAGGAGGAGGGGCTGTGGTTGAGAGTCGGGGGCACCTGGGCAGGGGAGGAAGGGGCTGTGGATGGAGTCGGGGGTACCCTGGGCAGGAGGAGGGCTGTGGGTTGAGAGTCGGGGGTACCCTGGGCAGGAGGAGGGGGCTGTGGATGGAGAGTCGGGGGCACCCTGGGCAGGGAGGAGAGTCGGGGTACCCTGGGCCTGTGGATGGAGGTCCCTGGGCAGGGAGGAGGGGGCTGTGGGTGGAGAGTCAGGGGTACCCTGGGCAGGAGGAGTCGGGGGGCTGGCTGTGGAGAGGGGTCTGTGGGTGGAGAGTCAGGGGCACCCTGGGCAGGGAGGAGGGCTGTGGGTGGAGGGTCGGGGTACCTGGGCAGGAGGAGGGGCTGTGGGTGGAGAGTCGGGGGTACCCTGGGCAGGGAGGAGGGGGCTGTGGGTGGAGAGTCGGGGGTACCCTGGGCAGAGAGGAGGGGGCTGTGGGTGGAGAGTCAGGGGTACCCTGGGCAGGGAGGAGGGGGTCTTACATCATTTAGGGCATGTTCAGCTAACTGTTGTAACTCCAGAGGTTGGGAAGTTGAACAGATGCTGCCTGGGGCTGATGGGAGTCATTGTTCACAAATACTGGAGAGCTAGTGGATTTCTATCACTAATTTAGGATAACTACTTATTTACCAAGTTTAGCTCATTTATATGTTGGCAAATCCGTGACATCCCAACTTGATCATGTGACACTTGTGATCATGTGAGTCTCTCCTTCCTTACATCTAGAACTGGACTGTTGTACACTGGCTTATCCACTGCATGATTGCTTGGCACATTTTAGCCCCAAGTAGTTTACATTTCATAATTTACAAACTCAATTAGTTTTCTACCTGGGTTATTTTACCCCCCAAAACTTGCAACTGCCTAGTCAGTTCTCCTAAATATCCTTATTAGGATGGGGCAGTAAAGTTATTGTAAGCTCTGCTGCCCAGCAGTGTTTGCACCAGTTTTGGAAAGCCTGTATTACACTAGTCTCTACGCTAAAATAAGCTGCTTATGTTGTCACTGTGGACTGCGCCATCTATTAATTTATTGTATGCTATATGGGATTTGTTTAGCTTCATGTTTTGCTGTTTATTTGCCCTCATTAATAATATTACTCTAATTACCACACTCTGCCATGTATATGTATCCAAACCTCCCCCAACACCCCAACACCACCACAGAGGGAGGGGGATAAATGAAAGGTGTTTAATGTCACAGGAAAATAAGGTGCCAAATGAGTTCAAATAAGGGTAAACAACATTTAAAGGAACACTCCAAAACTACCACAGCGCGTTGCAGTGGTTATGGTGCCATGACCCACGCTATATTAAATAATAAGCACACGTTCTATACGTGACTGAACCCCATTAGTCAGGGAGGTATGGTTTCTAAATGTTACTGCAGTCTCCAGGTCCGGACTGGGGATACAAAGCGGCCCTGGAAAAAAAAAAATCTATGCCAGCCCCATAAGTCATTGCGCCATATATTGTCGCATGTAATATGTAAGGCTATGTCTTGCCACCCCAGATGATAGAGTATATATATATATGTACACGATACCAGTAGAGAGCACTCAGGAGTCTTTCAAGGTAAATTTCATCTGTTGCTTTATTGAGCAATTACAAATTCACACAACGTTTCAGTCTGTAAAAGACTTTTTTCAAGACAATTGTGTATGTGAGATGGATACCTTATATACAAAAAATGCAGTGATCCTATTTGGAGGTGAACAGGTGAAATGTAACAACGGACAAGAGTGATGTCATTAATGACGTAAACATGTTTGAATTACGTAAAGAATTGAAGTTAACCCTATGTGTAACCGGTATGTGAAACATACTCTCGTGTAGATAATTCAGAAAGTAATAAAAGATAAATAACTATAAAAATAAAGTATATACAAATGTATATACAAATGTTTCAACCCTAACTTCACTTTATGGAAATAGATCGCATACCCATCTCACCCAGAGGAGGAGATCGTGATAACCTGTTACTCAGACGTGAGGCTTTCTGGATATACACGTTGGAACCATTATCACCATCTGGTTTAAATGAGAAGAACTCATTATATTGTTTTTTACCTAGAAGATAATATATGATTGAGCTATGTTTTACAGAATGCATTTATATAGTACAGTTATTTGCCGTAACTCCATGATGGAAGTAGTCCATATCGTATGCTGCTTCAAAATTACACTGACAATATTTTGCTATATAACTGATTTAATATTTAGCTAATGACGATATGTACTATGTATCAATGTTCCCTTGGTTAGGGTTAAAACATTTGTATATACTTTATTTTTATAATTATTTATCTTTTATTACTTTCTGACTTATCTACACGAGAGTATGTTTCACATACCAGGTACACATAGGGTTAACTTCAATTTATTACATAATTCAAACATGTTTACGTCATTAATTACATCACTCTGATCCGTTGTTACATTTCACCTGTTCACCTCCAAATAGGATCACTGCATTTTTGGTATATAAGGTATCCATCTCACATACACAATTGTCTTGAAAAAAGTCTTTTACAGACTGAAACATTGTGTGAATTTGTAATTGCTCAATAAAGCAACAGATGAAATTTACCTTGAAAAACTCCTGAGTGTTCTCTACTAGTATCATATACAATTTGGTTGGAGACAGCACCGGAGCATTAAAAGACTGGGAGCATTGAGTTCTGGGACCTGGGACGTATATATATTATATATACACACATACATACATAGGCGTGCGCAGCCTATTGCATTAGGGTGTGCACCCTAAAGCACAAGCACACGCCGCATATATATGTATGTGTGTGTGTATATATATATATATATATATATATATACACACACTGCTGTGTGTGTGTGTGACGGTGCTGGTAGTGTGCTATGTGGGTGAGGGTGTTTGTGTGTGCGGGCTTGTGAGGGTGCTGTTTGTGTGTGTGTGCGCGCGCTTGTGAGGGTGCTGTTAATGTACTGTGTGTGAGGGTGCTGGTAGTGTGCTGTGTGTGTGTTTGTTAGGGTCCTGTTTGTGTTTGTGAGGGTACTGTTAGTGTGCTGTGTGTGTACTGTGTGTGAGGGTGCCGTGTGTAAGGGTGCTGTGCATAGGCGTGCGCACGGGGTGTGCCGGGTGTGCCTGGGCACACCCTAATCCCCGTGGCACGCCTATGGTTTGAGTCCTGCAGGAACAGCGTCCCTGCACTTTTTTTGAGCAGGAACGCTGTTCCTGCAGGCACTCAGTGCCCCCTGTTTCACCTCTTGCCCCTGTCATAGGGGGGGGGCAAGAGGTGATGGATTCCCCACCCGTTCAGCGCGCGGCGAGGGAGCTCTCTGCTGTCTGCTCTCTGCTCCCTCTCGCCTCGCACTGATGCCGGGAGCCGGAATATGACGTCATATTCCGGCTCCCAGCTCCAGCAGACAGCCCGCGCGGCGAGAGGGAGTAGAGAGCAGACAGCAGAGAAAGGCGCCTGCCCCCACTGGACCCCAGGGACAAGTCCACCAGCACTCCAGGTAGGAGGCTGGGTGGACATTTTTTTTTAAAATTAAAATATAATAATTTGTGTATGTGTGTGTCTGTGTGTGTGTGAGTGTGTGTGTGTGTGTCAGAGTGTGTGTCTGTGAGTATGTGTGTGTGTCAGTGTGTGTGTGTCTGAGTATGTGTGTGTGTCAGTGTGAGTGTGTCTGTGAGTATGTATGTATGTGTGTGTGTGTGTGTACGTATATATATATATATATATATATATACACACACACACACGCAGAGCCGGCGCTATCTGAGTGCCGGCTCTGCTCTAAGCCTTCATGGGCCGGCGGGGAGACCAAAGATCTACCTCACCGGCCCACAGCAGCATGGAGGGAGGCAGTAGAGGACCCAGGCTGCTCTAGACAGAAGCTCCGCCAGGTTCCTCTCGCCATATCTGAGCGTTGCTGCGGCAACGCTCAGATCTCGCGAGAGTTAACTCTAGCCCCGCAGGCTAGAGTTCACTCTCCACTGGACCACCAGGGATGGCACATGGCAGCAAGGATTTACTAATCTGCCAAATCCCTCCAAACATACAGCACACACACATACAGCACCTACACACATACAGCTCACACACACACAGTACACTAACCGCACCCTCACAAACACACACAGCACCTTTAAAAAAAACACAACACCCTCACACACAGCACACTAACAGCACCCTCACAAACAGCACCCTCACAGGACAAACATACACACACAAACACCCTCACACACAAACAGCACAGTCACAAACACTTACCCTCACACACACATCACACTAACAGCACACACAGCAGTGTGTGTATATATATATAGATAGATAGATACATACACACACACGCGCGTGGCGTGTGTTTGTGCTTTAGGGTGCACACCCTAATGCAATAGGCTGCGCACGCCTATGGTGCTGTGTGTGTTTGTGAGGGTGCTGTGTGTGTTTGTGAGGGTGCTGTATGTGTGTGTGGGTGCTGTATGTGTGTGTGGGTGCTGTGTATGTGTGTGGGTGCTGTGTATGTGTGTGGGTGCTGTGTATGTGTGTGGGTGCTGTATGTGTGTGGGTGCTGTGTGTGTGTGTGTGTGCTGTATGTGTGTGGGTGATTTTGGGGGGGTGGAGGTGGGGGTACATTACTTGATATCCCCCCTCCCTTCTTACCTTTTGTAGGGAGGGGAGATCCTTGTTGCTGCTGCTTTCCCTGGTGGTCCAGTGGAGAGTGAACTCTAGCCCCTTTGGGGCTAGAGTTCACTCTCGCGAGATTTGAGCGTTGCCGTGGCAACACTCATATCTTGCGAGAGGAACCTGGCGGAGCTGCCAGCAATAGCTCCCCGGGTTCTCTTTTGCCTCCCTCCCTGTGGGTCGGTAGGGAGGGAGGCTGAGAGCAGAGCCGACGCTCGGATAGCGCCGGCTCTGCCTGAGCCGACAGGGGAGATCCTGAGATCCCAGGCACACCCCGTACGCACACCTATGCATACATACAGGGAGTGCAGAATTATTAGGCAAGTTGTATTTTTGAGGATTAATTTTATTATTGAACAACAACCATGTTCTCAATGAACCCAAAAAACTCATTAATATCAAAGCTGAATATTTTTGGAAGTAGTTTTTAGTTTGTTTTAGTTATAGCTATGTTAGGGGGATATCTGTGTGTGCAGGTGACTATTACTGTGCATAATTATTAGGCAACTTAACAAAAAAACAAATATATACCCATTTCAATTATTTATTATTACCAGTGAAACCAATATAACATCTCAACATTCACAAATATACATTTCTGACATTCAAAAACAAAACAAAAACAAATCAGTGACCAATATAGCCACCTTTCTTTGCAAGGACACTCAAAAGCCTGCCATCCATGGATTCTGTCAGTGTTTTGATCTGTTCACCATCAACATTGCGTGCAGCAGCAACCACAGCCTCCCAGACACTGTTCAGAGAGGTGTACTGTTTTCCCTCCTTGTAAATCTCACATTTGATGATGGACCACAGGTTCTCAATGGGGTTCAGATCAGGTGAACAAGGAGGCCATGTCATTAGATTTTCTTCTTTTATACCCTTTCTTGCCAGCCACGCTGTGGAGTACTTGGACGCGTGTGATGGAGCATTGTCCTGCATGAAAATCATGTTTTTCTTGAAGGATGCAGACTTCTTCCTGTACCACTGCTTGAAGAAGGTGTCTTCCAGGAACTGGCAGTAGGACTGGGAGTTGAGCTTGACTCCATCCTCAACCCGAAAAGGCCCCACAAGCTCATCTTTGATGATACCAGCCCAAACCAGTACTCCACCTCCACCTTGCTGGCGCCTGAGTCGGACTGGAGCTCTCTGCCCTTTACCAATCCAGCCACGGGCCCATCCATCTGGCCCATCAAGACTCACTCTCATTTCATCAGTCCATAAAACCTTAGAAAAATCAGTCTTGAGATATTTCTTGGCCCAGTCTTGACGTTTCAGCTTTTGTGTCTTGTTCAGTGGTGGTCGTCTTTCAGCCTTTCTTACCTTGGCCATGTCTCTGAGTATTGCACACCTTGTGCTTTTGGGCACTCCAGTGATGTTGCAGCTCTGAAATATGGCCAAACTGGTGGCAAGTGGCATCGTGGCAGCTGCACGCTTGACTTTTCTCAGTTCATGGGCAGTTATTTTGCGCCTTGGTTTTTCCACACGCTTCTTGCGACCCTGTTGACTATTTTGAATGAAACACTTGATTGTTCGATGATCACGCTTCAGAAGCTTTGCAATTTTAAGAGTGCTGCATCCCTCTGCAAGATATCTCACTATTTTTGACTTTTCTGAGCCTGTCAAGTCCTTCTTTTGACCCATTTTGCCAAAGGAAAGGAAGTTGCCTAATAATTATGCACACCTGATATAGGGTGTTGATGTCATTAGACCACACCCCTTCTCATTACAGAGATGCACATCACCTAATATGCTTA